GCTGAAAAATAATTTTAAAAACCACAACAAAAACAAGGTTTTATTTAGCCAGGTAATCTAGTTCAGAACCCGATGATAACAAAAATAAAAGTATATAAAGCAGGAAAAAAAAATAGATGCAAGTACAGATCGAAGGTACTTGAGATCAAATCTGGGAATAATAACAACTAACAAGACTTGAACGATGGATCCATAAATAGAAAGTATAAATCTAAGTACGGACACAATAAAGAAATGCAACAAACTAGGGTTTCTTCTCTGATTCCTAGCTTTAGAAAAGAGAAAAATTTTAATTAAGAAAAGAAAAAAAAAAGCCAAAAATATATAAACAAAGATATTAATGGAGATAAGCTCAGAATTGAAACTGGAATCAATAACTTTTTTTTTTATATAATAACCTTAATATATCCCTCTCGTTTCATGCAAAGTATATATATGTGTCGGCTGTGAAATTGAATAGAGAAATATAAAACCCTTGAGGAGTCATATATATATATATACAAAAAAAAAAAAAAAGTTCTCCATAAAACTAGATTAAATGGTATTGAAATGAAGAAGAGAAAATAATGAGAAACAGAGAGGAAGGACCAGGTACGGATGGTGAGGAAACGCTTGGTTATGATTTGTCGGAGAGAGAAACGTGAAAGGACAATGTTTTTTTTTTTTTTTGTGTAATGGAATTTTTTGGGTCGTTGATTAGATTTGAGAGATGTTATGAGCCGTTAGATCTGTCTTTTTGATTTATTAGTTCCATTTCTCTGACGTCTTATCTTGTTTAATGTCCTTTTTAAAAAACTGATTGCGTCATTAGAGAGAGACACACGCATCAATCCTCTTCTCTTCTTGTCTGTTGGATTGATTAATGGATTAATGCTGGTTTAAAAATTTTATTTTTTTATTTCTCAACCTTTTTTTTTTTCTTTTGTCACGGATTGTGGAAGACTTGTAAGCAGTATGTGATAATCAGAAAATTAGAGATTTTATGGAAAAGATTATTCAATATTTAGTGGTTTTGTTGAAGATTGGTGATGTTTAAAAACTGCGAATTTTTTTTTTTTTTTTACTTCAGTATTTAGTACTCTCTCAGATTCCCAATAAGTATTTATTAGTTTGATATGCTTTTTACATCTACCACCAGGTGAACTTTTTTTTTTAAAAAACAATAAAAAAACACTGAACTTTAATATATGGTTCTACATTTCTACTTCTACCCTTCTATTTTTTTTTAATATCTATCTTTATTTAGATAAATATGCAATTAC